TTATAGTGAATATGATGCAGAGAAAAACAGCAGCCCTCAAATTTATGATGTGTTTTTTGTACTCTCTTTTTTGGCTCAATCTACTACCGAACAAATTAAAGTAATAATAAATTTTGATTCAATTTATTACAATATTATTGATAGTAAAAAAAAATTATTATAATAATTGATTTAATATTAATAAATAATGAATAATTAAAATAAAATTACGTCAAATAAAACAATTTTTTAGGAGGATAACCATCACTTAATATAATATATTATTAAATTTTATTATTCTAATATTTAAAAATAATAACTTTTATTTTAGAAAATTTATTTATTGATTAATATAAAAATTATAATATTATATAATAAAATCACATCAACTAATAAAAATTGAAGTATAAATGAATAAAAAATTAATTAAATCTAATTAATTGAGGGGAGAGAAAGGATAGAAGTGGTAAAGTAATTATAATAAATATGTAGAGCTCACGAAATGAAATAAGAAATGATAATAGTATTGATGGATTTGTAGGAGAGTAATAGGATAAAAAGGAATGAAATTTTTCAACGATGGTAAGCAAACGGATCTGATTATGAATTTTTATAAGGGGAAGATAACAAAATAATACATTTATTTTTATTTTATAAAAAATAAAAAGAAAAAAGAAAGAAACTTAAAAGTTGATTTCTTATTTCTTATTTTTAGTTCGTGAGAAACACAAATATTTGATAATTATTATTCTTTCTCATTTTTCATTTCTTAGAAATGTTTCTAAATTGGGTTAACAAAATCAAGTTTTTTTATTTTTTTTCTATTATTTATTTTTTTTTCAAAGTATAAATTAAAAATATTATTTTATTGATTTAAAAAATGCATAAAAAATATTAAAAAGTAATTACAACATAATAAATTTGAATATTTAGTTTACAAAACTAATGTTCATATAAATTAACTTTTCAATTTAAAATTTTAGAGCACAACAAACCAGGATGATTTTCAAACATATATTTTTTTTCTATAATTAAAAAAAAGAAACATAAACGAAAATGTTATCAACAAGTCGTTTAACTTATCTTATTTTCATTTCTTAAAAATGGAGGAATTACTTAAAGTGTTGAAATTTTAAAGATTAAATAGACAGGAAACTTAAATTTCAGGACGAAAATATATTTTACAAATTCATTTATATAATTCTTTAAAGAAATGGACCTTCTTGGTTATTCATCGTGCAATGAGGTTTTTGAACTGAATAGTCATTTTAAAGGGCCAACTTTGAAATATGTTCCCACCCCTAACTTTTATGTTTTCTAACAATTTACGGGCATCATTTTTATATGAAATTATATATTTGCCCTTCTAAATTTTTTTCTTGAATTTCTCTACTTTCTCTTCCCTTTTTTCTCCTCCCTCCTCTCTCGGTTCCCCTCCTCCCTCTCCTTGATTCTTCATCTTCCATATGCATACTTCTTTTTCTCTTCCATTAAGGTCTCATTTACCTCCCCGCAATCGTAATCAATGAATCAAAACTTTGATCCTCTTTGATGGTGTTTACCAAATTGTAAGAATGTAATCAAATGGTGGGACCCACCTCAAACTTATTCCGTGTATTAATAATGTACCATTTTTACCCTTTCTCAATCCATATCATTTTTAATTAGTTTTTTTTAGGTTAAAAAACACATTTGGTCCCTGAACTTTTATTAAAGTAACGATTTAGTCCATAAACTTTCAAACGTAATAATTTAGTCTCTGAATTTTCAAATTAATAATAATTTAGTCATTGCAAGATTCTGCTAGTATTTAAATTCTGTTAGTATTTAACATGAATATGACGTGGAATGCCAATTAGGATGCCACACCAACGAATAACGTGCTCCCAGTCCCCCTGCGATTCTCATCTACCGGTCTCCACCCTTACGATTAGACCACCGGCTTCACCATCCGGCTGTCGGAGATGAGTGCCTCGCAAGACTTAATTCAGGCCAAATTGGGGCTGGGTTTGGTCCTCAGCCAAAGCCGAAAGCAAAACGAACAAATTCCCTTTTTCCTACGCAATCTTCGAGATGGGTTTTCTTTTGGACTTAATCGATTATCAAAATCTAACAATTGTAATGCTCTGGTTTTTTATTTACAATTATCCTGCAATTCTTCTTCAACTGCTTTGATTTTTTCTTCCATTTCTCAGACATGCACTGGGGGTTCGTCCTCTGCGAGATTTCCTTTTGTCTTCCGGCTGAGGCAGTAAATTTCACCTGTGGCCGTAAATTTCGGCACATTTGTTTTTTGTTTTTTGTATTATTTTTTGGGTTAAAGCGTGTCCTCGGTGGCATTTTATTGGGCACTCCACCCATATTCCACCCATATTTCTGTTAAATCCTAATAGAATAGTTAACGCTTACGACTAAAATATTACTAATTTAAAAATTCAGAGATTAAATCGTTATTTTCATAAAAAAAAATTTCAGGGGACCAAATACGTCTTTTAACTTTTTTTTTTATATTTTTATAATTTATTCTCCATTTATACTCCAATTTTTATTAGTTGATGTAATTTTATTATATAATATGATAAATTAATATCAATAAAATTTTTAAATAGATATTATTACTTTTAAATTTTAGAATAATAAAACTTAATAATATATTATATTAAAGTTTATTTGATGTAATTTTATTTTAATTATTAATATTAGATAAATTGTTATAATAAAAAATATTTACTTTATTATTATTGTAATTTAAAAAACATCGGCAATTAGCTAAATTTGGGAATGGTGACATTTTTAAAGTAGGCCGACTATTGAGCTAAAAAACCCCGCAATGCACTGAACAAAACGGCCGAAAGAGTCAACAGAGAAACCGAAAACGGAAATGAATTAAAATGACGAGAAACGAAGCATTTATAACTCGACGAAGAAACTCCACATTTATAAACTAGTTGAAACTCAAGTAATTAATGGCAGATTTACCTATTTAAATGGCCAATCCTCGCCATTTTTTTGCAGTGAGAATTTGTTCTCAGAAACCATGAAGCTTTCACCTCTTCTGATCTTCTTCTGTTTTCTTCTAGCCGTTTCCGTGTCTCTCAGTTGCGCCAGAGATTTTGAATCCGCCGCCGATGCATTGGATTTCCTTCGTTCGCCGGCGGACGCGGCGGAGCCTCCCGGAGGAGACCCATGGCGGATTCCACGTATTTTTGATGTTACTGATTATGGAGCAGTTGCTGATGGAAATACGGAGAGCAGTTTGGTAAGTCACTTGCTTTTATACACAAATTCCATATATATATATATATTATTTTATTCCATTATATTTTAATTTATTTTTAAAAGAAAAATATTTACGTGAAACTTATTTATATGGTTGAAAAATTGAAAGTTTATTATTAAAAAAAAAATCTATATTTTTTTATTTCTATATCTTATCCTTCGGGGGAATAAGAAAACTTTGGTGCCAATTATTTCTCTAACAATTGTGAATAGGGGTGTCATAATTGACAATATATACTTCAATTAATTGAGGATTCTCCCCCGATGACTTTTGAGAAGATATTCATTGAGCTAAAATTTGATTATATTCATGGTTCTTGGAAAAGGCAAACTGTTTTATTAGTCAAGTGTGTCATTTCTATACATTTCTATGTCCTTTGGAATAATTGTTTTCCTTGATAGATTGTGACGGTGATGTGTGGTTACCACTATTTAGATGTAACCTTTAATTGTATTATTTCTATTTAATGCAATATTTTGTGTTTCAAAAAAAATATTTAATAGTGAAAAGAACCATGTATTTTCTAAAATATTTTTAAAATTGAGAAAAAGAAAATTGAACCACTCTAAATTTAAATTTTATAGCATTAAAATCTAACCTTGAATAAATGTGACCTCAAAACTAATTTTACACTAAATTTAACTTGTAAAATATTTGTTGTAAAAAAAATGTAAAATATTTAAAATCAAACCACAAAAATTAGAAATCAACCTTTGCTAATCAATTTTGTTTTTGGTTTGTTATTTTTAAAATTAACCTTATAAACACTTTTTTTTCCTATCTATTTATTTGTTTCATTGTTTTTTATATAATTAAAAAAAAATTACAGGCTTGTTTTTGTTTTTTAAATTTGATTAAAAATTCATATTTGATAACCTTACTAATGCAAATCTAAAAAACAAGCTTAATTAAAAAAACAAAATGTATCAAATGATACTGAAAATATTTCGTCTGGCCGCAAAATCTAGCAAGCAAAAAATTACCCAGATCCACCAATGAAAATGTCCCTTAAAAACAAAAAGAACCAATTCCTTTCGTTTTATTTTTAATCTTATTTTCCTATCAAATTTGAACATGACATTACCATCAATATTGTTTTAAAATATAAATATTACTTCATACCGAAGAGTTTTCGTTAGGTGTAAAACCTGTATTAAAGTTTTAAAAAAAGAGACTAAAATGAACTAAAGTTAAATATAATAATCCAAATAAATATTATAAACTAAACTGAATCAATATTAAAATACTAGATCTATAAAATTTTGTTGAGGTATAGGAATTCATGGTAGCGTGGGAGGAGGCATGCGCTTATCCAGGAAGGTCGGTGTTGTACGTACCACAGGGCACATTCTTCGTCGGAGAAACTGTATTTTCCGGCCCCTGTTTCAACGACCTCTCTCCCAAAGTCCTCATTTTAGGAACCTTGAGAGCTCCGACCGCCCTCGACGACGCCGACGTCTGGATCCACTTCAAAAGCCTCCATCACCTCGACATCACTGGTGGCGACACCAATACCACCGCCATTCTCGACGGTCAGGGCGCTCAAACCTGGTCCAATTCTGCCTGCCGTCGCCACTTCACTTGCGACATATTTGCCACCGTAAGTATATTCAGAGACCATAATAAATCGATGTATACCTTAATTAGTTGAGTCAGGCTTTAATTTAATTTTCAATTTTATGTCTATAAATTTTTGGTACGTCAGATAAGTTCTTAAATATTCAATTTTGTTATATATTCTTATATTTTTTTAAAAAAATTTCACTAAATCAATTAGGTATTAAAATTAAACATTCTTTTATTTTAAAACGAGTTGGGGTAACTTATTAGATTCATAAGATAACTATGAGACATTTTAAAATTTAGGGATTTATTAGACACAAATTAAATTAAAAGTTTATCGACTATCAATAGACACTATTTAAAGTGTATAGACTTATTTTTAATAGTGCTAAATTAAAAATTTATTTACAAAATATACCTCTCCTCAAACTTATTCTAAGAATAATGTTCGACAAATTGTAAAGAAACTACCTATGTTACTCCATAGTTTTCAACTTGCAAAGTGCCTACAGTTATTCGAGCACTACTTCCCAAATAAGTTTCGGGAAAGGTATATTTTGCAAATAAGTTCCTAATTTAGCATTATTAAAAAAATCTGTGACTTATTAAAGGTGTAATTTTACCTTTGCTGTTAGTTGCATTGCAATTGCCCTCCCCTTCTATTTTTTGAATCAAAACACCAAAATCCAACCTTTTTCTCTCTCCCAATTTGGTGGATCAGTCTTTGAAGCTGAGCGATGTGTCATATGGAAGGGTGAGCAATATTGAGGTTGTGGACAGCAAAGGTTTCCATGTCGCTCTTCATGGTTGTGACAATATTCATCTCTCTGGATTCAATATTAGAGCTCCAGGGGACAGTCAGAACACCGACGGCATCCATGTTAGTCAGTCTACCAACATCAACATTACTTCCTCCGATATTGGCGTCGGCGACGATTGTGTTTCCATCGGACCCGGCAGCGTTAACGTGTCCGTTTCCGACATTAACTGTGGTCCGGGACATGGAATTAGGTATCTTTTATCTACCATCTACTTTCTACTTTCTAATTAGTGTTGTGTTTGTAGAAAAAAGTACGTGAAATGGTAGAATCTTGAACAAGTAGTGTTTTTGGGTATTTGGAATAATATAATGCAGTGTGGGGAGCCTAGGGAGGTACCAAAATGAGATGGATGTGGTGGGAATAAGAGTGGAGAATTGTTCCATAAATGGCACTACAAATGGAGTGAGGATAAAGACATGGCCAGGACAGCATTCAAGCATAGCTACCAATTTGACATTTCAAAACATTGTCATGTCCAATGTCTCAAACCCCATTGTCATTGACCAACAATATTGTCCCAACCATTCTTGCAAAACACATGAGGTAATTAACTACTCTTAATATGACCCTACTCCACATAAAACTCATTCTTAACCATTAACAATTAACAAAACGCTGGTGTGACATGTTCGTTTGATAAATTTTGGCTAAGTTAGTGTAATGTGTAACAAAACAGTGTTGGATAGATAACGATGATCATGTCACATTCAGTGTTATGATTATGGTATTAACTACAAGTAGTACTTTTGGTCTGACTCGAAGTTGTGTTTTGAGAATAGTTTTAGTTTAGAAAAATACTTTAATTAATATACTTTCATTAAAAGCACTTGTTTTTGAGGCAGGCATCGAATGTGAAGCTGAGTGAGATAAAGATGAGAAACATAAGTGGGAGTTACAACTCAGAGTTTGCAGTAAATTTGCAGTGCAGCTCAGGGAAGGCTTGTGAGAAAATTGAGCTTTCTTACATAAATCTCACTGCCACTCAGCCACCTGATCAAAACCACCAAATCGGGCGATTCAACTGCAACGGTGCCCTCCATGCCTTCACTATTCTTAATTCTACATTTTAGCTTCATTACTATGCAAATTAAAAAAAAAAAGTATATGTATATATTTCAATGTATTTGCATCGAATTTGCAATTTCTATACGACTTCCCTCAAATTCGTCGTGGAAATATATAGGAATTAATTCTCTAGTAGATGGTCATCAAGTGGTTTGAATCATTGGCCTAGTCTCTTTGGATCAATGAGTTACTCATGATGATTTGTTGGTCATTTTTTTTAATACAACTAAAACCCGGAGTATTAAGATGAAGGAAAAGGAGATTTCAAAAAAGGATATTCATAATTACATTAATAATTAATTTAAAAAATATACTGCATTATTTTGCCATTAATATATACGTTACAGGACAATATCAGTGTCTTATGAAGAAGGAAAAAAAACAAAAAACAAAAACTAGACAATATTAGTGTGTTGGGCTGTTATATGCTTCTATGCTAAATTTAGATAGTCTGAGAGAAGGTATTTAATAAAAGAAAATGACCGGCTGAAAATACAAGACCTTTTTAACTTTTTTTAGAGCAAAAAAAATGGTAAATGAGAGCTCTTTATATAATATTATGATCAAATTAAATCCTGTTTGATATGAAAATTGGATCAAAGATTGCCAGCCTCGACGAACTTCCGCTGATTCTTCGATAGCCTTGAGAATAACGGCATATTGTTGTGGATTTTGTTAGAAGTTTGCGTCTGCAAAAGTTAACGAGGATCAGCTTGACTCATACATTTTTTTTTTTTATAATAAGTGAGCTATGCTCGAATTTACAACCTCTTGATTAGAGATATATATTAATTACCACTGAGTTATACTCGTTTGGACAGTAGAAGTAAATTTTTTTCTTAAAAATATTTTTTTACACAAGTGAGAATTTTAATACATAAATAAAATTTTTAAAAAGTTAAAAAAAGTATAGACCGAATTAGCTAAAAGATTTGAAACCGTTCGGTGTGTGTATATATATGAGATTAGCATTATTTTATTTTAGGTTAAAAAATACATTGCTCCCTCTGCTTTATATAAAGTAACAATTTAGTCAATTTTAGTTAAAAAATTTTAATTTAGTCCCCATCGTAAAAAATCTCATCAAAATTAGGTTAAAAAAATTTTTGGTCCTTGTACTCCATTGAAATAACAATTTAGTTCACGAATTTTGGTTCGTAACGATTTAATCATTGTACTTTCAAATTGAAAACAATTTAGTTCAGGTAGGGTTTGTAACAATTTAGTCCCTATCATGAAAAATTTTAGCAAGTTTTTTATATATATAGATCAATAAATAAATGAAATACCAAATATGTTTAAAATTACAAAAACTAAATTGTTATAAGATAAAAATTGATATTTAATGTTTTAAAAAAATCGAGATTTAATTTTAATGGATTTTTCACGTTTGCTGACTAAATTGTAAAAAATTTTAAACTATAAGAACTAAATTGTTTTTATAAACACATATGATAGGGACTATATCGTATAACGATTTAATCTTTCTAATTTACAAATACATTTTGTCTCTCATCGAGTATCGATCTACACATATAAGAAATTTAACAAAAAATTTTACCATAAAGATTAAATCGTTATAAATTTTAAACAATAAGGACTAAATTGTTACATTATATTATGATAGAGATTTAGTTTTTGTAATTTATAAACACATTTTATCTTTCTAAAAAAATTAACAAAAAAATTTATAATAAAGACTAAATCATTATAAATTTTAAACCGTTTAAAAAATTAAAGTTTATTGACTAAATTATTATCTTAAAAAAATTACAGCTCATAGCGAGGAAGTATGTTTTTTAACCTAAATTTTATTTCTTTAGAGAGAAAAAAATGAGAAACTAAATATTGACCGGCAGAGAGTCAAGGTCGGGTGGAGCTTGAAAGAACCAGAGAGAGCTCGGATTCGAGGATCCAGGAGAGTCTTTGGAACCCTGCCGCCCGTTACCGTCGTCACCCCATCATCCGCCGTGTCTTCCGCCGTCGCCGTCGCCTTGTCGGATCTACACGCCCTGCTCCGCTTGAATTTCCGATCACTTTCTCCTAGGTACGCTTCTGAAAGGGTAGATCCCCATTTTTCTGTTCTTAATTTCATTCCTTATCTGGGGATTTTGAATTCATCAAGCCATGAATTCCAATTTCGGAAAGAATTTCGAGTTCGATTTGGGTCTCGGATCCTCTCCCTCCAAATCGCTCAACGATCAGAAGAACAAATCCCCATCGTATTCTTCATATGCTTCCTCCGGTCCTTCATATTCGTCGACGCAGACCAGGCCGGCCTGGCAGCAGCCCAGCAGATCCTCGTGGACGCATCAGGCGGCGCGGCCCACCTTGTCCAATGCACCCTCTTCAATGGTCGGCGATATATTTGGGAAGAGCTGGGGTTCCACGCCGAATTCTGGCTCCACTGCGGGCATTGGAATTGCGGAAAAGAATCCGAATCTGTTCGGCGATTTGGTCAGTTCCGCCTTGGGATCAGGTAAGAGTAACACGAATTCTCCATTGAAAAATGCGACTCCGGCATCGGCATCGGCATCGTCAGCTGCTGCATTGAATAGGAATTCGTTTTCGATGGGAAACATGACCGATTCGTTGCCAAGAGCCACTAGTAATCCGAGTAAAAGTACTGGAAATTGGAGTTTTGAGAATCTTAGCAGTTATAATAGTGGGCATACTAATCAGAGTAATACCACCAATATCAAGGCTCCAAATCTCGGAGGTCGGAGCATGAGTTCTACCACCGGTAGTGGTAAGACGAGCTCTAGCAAGGATCCCTTTGGTTCTTTAGTTGACTTTGGATCTAAATCATCCGGAAAGCTGAATTCAACAAGTAGCAGTCAAAAGATCAATTCAAGCGAGGACTCATTTGGAGATTTCCAGAATGCTTCAAATCCAAGCACTAGAACATTTCCTTCGAGTGGATCGAGTGGGAGTGGTGTTGGTTTCAATGGATCTAGTTTTAATTCTGGCTTAAACATGGGTGATTTCGGAATGCCCCCAATGAATTTTGGTCCCAAGGTTCAAGAGACTGTTCAAACCACTGCCAGTGATCCGCTCGATGTGCTGTTTAGCTCATCCAAAGCCCCAGTTGGAGGTGCTGCAATGGCGTCTGGAGCAACTGGAGTGCCACAATCCATGGATGCCGATGATTGGGGAATGGATTCGGAGTTTGGGGGTGGTGGTCATGATGTGGGCGGCTCAACAACTGAGATTGAAGGACTTCCAACTCCTCCTGCAGGGGTGACATCTTCTTTGGCGAATAACAAGGGAGTCGATTTCTATAAGCAGGGACAATATGCTGATGCTATTAAGTGGCTTTCTTGGGCTGTAATTCTTTTTGAGAAAGCTGGTGATAGTGCTGCCATAGTTGAAGTTTTGTCGACACGAGCTTCATGTTACAAAGAAGTTGGGGAATATAAGAAAGCAGTGGTTGATTGTACAAAGGTAAAAGATCCAAAAACTCTGATATAACTAAATACTTGTTAATGCACTGCAGGTACTATATTAACCTTATAAACCTGGTAACTTGGAAATTATGGCCGTATCATCAATAGGCACCCTGAATTCTAGGTCCATTAGCTGGGAGGAAGTTTTCTGGTTCTTTGTTTGCAGCTTTGTTTGATTATCATAATTCAGTTCTTGTAAAAGAAGAAAGAAGTAACTTCATCTCTGGTGTGTGTTGGTATTGACTGAAGTTAACACCATATTGTCAGTCAAATTTTCATTTCTGCAAACATTGTTTTAAAGAAAAACGCTACTGGGTGCTATAATATTGTTAGCTGACCACTGGTTTCCAGTGCTTGGTGTTTGATTTTGATAAATTACTTTACTAAAACTCATGTCTTCTACCATTCCACACCCCGCCCCCAAAGGGGAAAAAGTATAACATTAGAATACTTGTAAAAAAGCCACACCCTTCACTGTGCTGTGCAGGTATTGGATCAGGATGATGCAAATGTAACCGTTCTCGTTCAACGTGCACTTCTGTACGAGAGTATGGAGAAGTACAGACTTGGAGCAGAAGACCTGAGGGCTGTCCTGAAGATCGATCCGGGTAACAGAGTTGCAAGAAGCACAATTCACCGGTTGACTAAGTTGGCAGACTAAAGGTTCTTATTACAATTTTGGCTGTTGTAGTTTCTTCAATATAGGATTACACTGGTTCCCCTCATGCTATCTAAATTTGCTGGGAATGACTACATTTTTCAATTACATGGAATTGGTTTTGTAAGTGTCTGCCCCCTATTGATGGTTTTAAAAATGCATTATTTACTTGTATTGTTTGTGACAAAAAAAAAAGACAAAAAAGGAAACCTGCTCTCATTGATTGTTCTTGCATGATTGCCCTGGAAATTCATAATATTCAATTTGTTTTCAGGTCCTTTTTGCTGGCTTCTTGAATTATAATCACTTAGATGGCTGTTAAAATCAGGAAAAAAAAAGTGAGAATGTTTGTAATAAAACCAAAACTGAAGATTTTATCTCATGATTTTGGATAGTCTGATCTGATTGCCTAGACTTTGTTGACTAGAACAGGAAATTTGCATTCATGTCCTTGGAAAAAATTGGGAGAATATTTTTCTCCTATCTACTAACTCCAGTTTGATGACCAATTTGTTTTCTGTTTTTTTTTTTTTTGGTTTTTAAATAACAAGTTTGTTTGAATTCGTTTTTTAAAATACTTTTTCGTTTTTAGAACTTGTGCAACTATATTTAAATTTTGGGGATCAAATGAAGTGTTGGTTATGAAAATTGAGGGATCAAATAGAAACCAAATTTAAATATGAGGGACTAAAAATGTATTTTATCAAAATATTTATAACCACATGTTTAAGAAAAATAATAATAACAACAAAGTAGGCTATTAAGTTTTAAAAAGTAATAACAACTGTAATAAATTTTAAAGAAATAATACATTCAAGATCAATATTAGCTTTTGTCCTTGCTATTGATATTATTAGACTTTTGCATTGCTTTAACGGGAGAATTGGAGATATATGTCAATTACCGTTGAGCTGTTCGCTTTGACTACTCCATATAAATCTTTTATATTATTGTTTCAATTTGACTACTCCATATAAATCTTTTATAATATTGTTTCAAATCGCCTTTTTTTTTCGAGTACAACATGTGGGAGGTGGGGGATCGAACTCATAACCTCTTGCTAGGCCTAGGAGAGGAGGGCTTTTAGGGACTAGGGAAGGGTAGGATTGGGCATGGACGAGCCTCGACTGGGCCAGCATTGATGAAAAAATGACAAAAGAGAAACTTCTCCGATCGCATCATTAACCAGTGTAGGATTAAAGATCAGGTCCAGGATTCTAGTCAAATCGACCTTCGCTCTTGGTGAGGCAAGGAATTCCATCAAATGTTCGTTGTTCAATATCTCGATTGCTCAAGAAGTTGGACTAGCAGCTCCTCGACCCGACTCGGAGTGGATTGACGGAGAAGGGAAGGGCGGGCAGAGCCTCACGTTGCAGTAGGTTGAAGATATAAACAAATTATCGCTGAGTTAAAATTCTTCCCTCAACCTTTGTCTTCAACCCGGCAAAAAGAACCTACTTTTTCTTTCCGAAGATCTAAAAAATACGAAAGATTAACAACTTTATTTTAGGGAACCCCTGAGGATCCTTGGAGTTAATTTTCGTATTTACCCTCGTATACATCTGATGGCCCCAGGTCCACAGGAATGTCCCTCTCTACCCAGTAGATAAACGGCCAAATCAATATATTTTGAATCTTCTTCTAACAAATTAATATCGAATTTCCTTCTAACTAATTAATATTTTGAATACCATCTTTTCTCAAATAAATAAATAAATTTGAATACCATCTTACTTCAACTACTTGTAACAAAATCCTCTTTGTATTTTAAATATTCTTACACAGGTCCACTCATCACCATCAATCTTAATCTCACAACCTCAACGACAACTTCTCGTAATTGTGTCCTTTGGAATCATGATTCTTTAGTTTACCTCCAACAAATTTAGATACATGGACCCTATATACCTTTGTGTTTATACTCAATCTGTTGTATTATGTGTTTTTCAATCTCTACCTATCCTGGAGAGGGGCAGTTAATACTGCCACAATATTGATTGTTACGTCATCCATATTTTCATTCTAATTTTTCTATATCAATTTTAATCACATTACTGCAACTTAATTTAGCTTTTGATGGTTTTTTTTTTTAATTTTTTTTATTTCCAGGAGTCTAAAGAATTGATTTTATAAGTTTATTATTATTATTATTTTTTTCAAAATCTCGAAGTTAAAAGAATGTAAGAGTTGATTTTATAAGTTTGATAAAGTTCAAAGAATGTAATCCTCTAATTTTTTTTCCCTTAAATCTACCATTTCATGTAATAAAAAGTTTGATTATGTATGTTATTCTCCCGTTTTTTTATTCCTAGAATTTCTAGAATCAAGCTGCTACATTAAGTTGTTAGTTTAAAGGTATATTTGTCACTAAAAAACAATTATAGGATAATATTTGGCCAATTTGTTTTCAACGCATTTTTATCTAATTTAAATTGTAGAATTGAACGATAACTACCAGTTAACCATATTTACACTATTTTTCAAATCATTATTTAATAAGGTCATTTCTGTTGTTGCCATTTTTTTTTCTTGCCATTTGTTTTTACGTTACAATGTTTAATTGATTTATAAATAACTAATAAAAATCAATAAAAGCGTTACCCTAATTACGCTGTAAAGCAAAACAGTACAATTATTCGGACCAATAAATGAAGTGAAAGAAATTTGGTTAAAAAAAAAATTGATTATTTTTTTTGGTCTTTAAATTTTTTAATATTTTATATTAGTTCCTAAACTTGTATAAAAGCATGCACGTAGAAAGTCAGGTGTCAAGTTCTTAAAATGAATTGGATTCATTTAAATAATTAATAAAAAATAAAAAGTTAATAAATTCTAATGTAAAGTGTAGGGCTAAAAAGGAACCCGAGATTTTTTTATTTTTTACAACAAACTAGAGGTATAAAAATTTGAACCTTCAACTTCAAAGAAAGAAATAAGTATGCACATGCTGATGGATTTGAAGAAATATAAAATTTAAAGATTAAAATATGATTTCGACACCGAAGTTTCTTCTGGGAATTTTTTATATTATTTTTCAAAAGTTATTTTAGAATCTAAAGTTGTCTTTTGAATAGATGATTTCAATAAAAATGTTACGTAGAGAGAGAAAGAGGGAGAGGGCGGGCGGGAATTAAGGAAAGTGAACGAAACGACGATTATAGTGAGTGATTAAAGAGAAGAAGGGAGGGTGGGTACATCGAGGGAGAGCAGGAATTAAGGAGAAAATGGAAGGATGATAATTGTCCAAGTAGAGAGACGATTTACGTGACAAAATATGTCACCTAAAAACGTCCATTTACTAGATAAAATAACGTCTTTTTCATGAGATACTTTCTTAAAACAATAATATTCATAAAATAAGTTTGGAATTTTTATATATATTTTTCTAATCTTCTATCAAAATAATAATTTTTATTGATGACATGAGTATAATTCAACGACAAAGAGCTCACGATAATGTGGTTAGGTACCTAAACCATTTAAACTATACTCAAACTTTAATAGTAGAGATTAAAACCTCAATATTTAAAATGATAATAAGTATTTTATTTACTCAGTTTGATTATTGTAGTTAAGAATTGATTTAAATATTTTTTTGAGGTAAATCATAATCATCGCATTAATTTACATAATTGATATTGGATGTTTACTAAATTGAAATATCACAATAATCATTGATTTACCTTTTGCAATTATTATTATTTTTTGTAATATTGAACTCTCATATTTGGTAATAGCATAGTGTTGGGTTTGTGCAGGGAGTTCAAACAAGGTCTCGCAACTCGAAAAAAAGTGATTCATAGTATATAAGAGAGGACAATTATCTCAAATGGTACAAGGTTTATTAGAGGTCTTTTGGGTAGAACCAAAAGTAAAGCCATGAGGGCTATGCCCAAATCGGACAATATCATACCATTATGGAGATAGTGGGGTACTGTTGTTAAGTGGTATCAGAGTCATGGTCTAAAACCTAGCTGTGTCGGTGAAATCCTCAGGTGTCGAACAAAGAAGTAGTGGTGAGCCTTGGAATGTGTAATCCTGGTGTAATATGTGAAATGAGTGATTCATGGTATATAGCTCTTTTTCACAAGGTTTTTTGGATGGAACCAAAAGCAAAGTCGTGAGGCTATGCCCAAAACAGATAATATCATACCATTGTAGAGATACGATGTGGGGCACTCCGGATACCGTTGTCCTTAATACATAGCTATTTTTCTACCGTTTAAGTCCCAAAATTTTCTATTCAAAATAGCTCGAATTTGTCAAGATTTGAAATTAAAAAGTATTTAATTCTAAATTTACGTTAATGATCTTCCAACATAACTTCATAAGCAAATAGTCATTCAAATAAACTACTTTATTTTCTGTCTCTTCTACCAACATTTTTTGAATTATCGTGGAAGCAAAATATATTTTTTGATACATTTAAAATTTCTCTTTAATTTTTTTAAAAGCATTTTTGTAATTTTTTTAAAGTTCCCTTCTTGTATTTNTTCCATCAAAAGATCTTGTTAAAAAAAAAAAAAGTGAAGCAAAGGAAGAGGTTGCCCCAGTAGAAGAAAGAAAAAGTAAACACATGGATTTTTTTTTTTTGGTTTAGATTTGAAATAATTTGACTATAGATTTTTTTTCTTTAGAAAATATTTGTTTACAAGTTTTTTTTTATTTTATTGGCAATAATTTAGTATATTAATTTGATTAAATGATTTATTTGTTACATGTAGTTGACATTATTATTCCGTATTAAAATATTATATTATTATTAATATAATATCATGCTAAATTATAAGGGCATAATAGTAAAATGTTATACTAAATGACCCAATTTATTCTTTATTTTTTAGTACAACATGTAGGGATGAAGACCAAACTCACAACCTCTTGATTTGAGATATATGCTAATTAATGTTGAATTATGATCGTTTTAACGAAAAGACAATACAAGAGTTCAAAGACAAGACCACCTGCACTGTTATCATGATCTTAAATATAATTAAATCACAAAAAAAAAAACTCAAAAGATGTTTAAGTTGATCAGTTAAGATAAATTTAATTATTTATAAGATACCTAATACTAATTATATAATTAATATATACCTCCATAAATAAACCAAAAAATTTCCAAAAAATTCCAAACTACAAAACGCTCAAACATAATTATAAAAGTATATAAAAATAGATCAAGACATATATCAAAATTCTTAAAAAAAAAAAAACTAAAAACTAGCGAAGAAATAAAGAAGATAAAAACCCATGTAGCATTTATTATTATTTTGGAGGTTTGTGGAATCCCCACCCCACAATTATTCAGCTTAAAAAAACGGACAATATATATTTTTTAGTAAAATTTAAAAAAAAAGAGAGAGAGAGAGAGAGAGAGAGAGAGAATTTAATAATAATATAGGGTCAAAAAATCTGATGCCAATTTGTCTATTTCTTGGTAACTTCTTTTTACGTTATAACCGTCAGCTTCCTTCCATTATAAATACTCTTTCATTCCACTCTTCACTACTCATACTTCTCACCACACGCCTCTCTCTCTCTCTCTCTCTCTTTTCTTTCTTTCCTCTCTTTTTCTCCCTTCTTTTAGTTGAAGAAGATGTGCGGCGGAGCCATCATCTCCGATTTCGTTGATACGACCTGCCATCAGAGCCCAGTCGTGGACGATAACCTCTGGCCTGAGTTCGACACCTTCTCCGAGCTCCTCGGTCTCGACGCCTCGACTGGAAACTACCTTTTCAACAACTCTCCGACCAACAACAACCTCCAACAACATTCTCACGGTACACTATCATTCCCTCCTTAATTCCTCTTCATTTAAATTTTCTTTTTAATTTTATCTCCCTTGATATCACGTCAAACTTTCATTAACAATAAATTATAAATATATATCTAATTTTCTAAAACCTTATATTCTCTTTTAACTCTCGCTGTCAACACAAAACTCAACAAGAACTAATTGGGCGAAAAATGAACAATATTTCTTACTACCCATCACTAAAATCTCTTTTAAGCACGAATTTTCTAGTATCCAGTTAGTGCGTGTTCGAGAGCGATGGTAAAATTAGTAATTTTGAAATAACATTCCAGTGAAAAGTGAGAAGAAAGAAGAATGTGAGGAAGCAGGAGGGGAAGTTGCAGAGGCAGTGGCAGAGGAGATGAAGAAACGACCGCAGAAACAGAGAGTTCGGAAGAGCAAATACAGAGGAATCCGGCAGCGGCCATGGGGGAAATGGGCGGCGGAGATTCGAGACCCACAAAAAGGACTCCGCGTCTGGCTCGGAACCTTCAACACCGCCGAAGAAGCAGCCGCAGCTTACGACCAAGCCGCCATACGAATCAGAGGAAAAAAGGCCAAACTCAACTTCACCCACCCACCGCCGTCTCCTCCGCCGCCGCCCGCCGTCCAACTCTCAAGCCTGGAATCCTTTCTGGGCCTGGACCCCTCGCCGCCGCCGGTGGAGCCCATGGCCGACCTCTGGTGGGCCGATGACCTTCTCACATATCACCACCAAAATCTCCCCCTCCCCTTTTGAAAGAGGAATTGCAAAATGGGTTCCGAACTTCAACTTCTGTTAAATCATGTAAATCAATAAGAAAGAAAAGAAAGAAGAAGAAGAATCAAGCTAAATACATCTAAAATTTTTAGGAGGGGTATTTTATGATATTTGATTTATGTCGTGTTTACTCTCATTTGACTCGTCTAAAAAGTTTCAAATTAGTTTCTTATATTTTAATTTTTAAATTTTAATGTTAAAATTCACTCATCAAAAATCAGACTCATTGATTCGAGGGGGAAAGAGAATGAATGGGTTTCCTGATGCTTCAGGAATTAAATCCTATGTGTTTCCAGCTACTCTGAATTTCTACCAATTCACTGAATATTAAGTTATAAAAATTTATCATTAAATAATTTTAATATTCATAATCTAAATTAAAGTTAAAAATATGAGAAAATTTAATCTAAATAATATTGACTAAATTAGAAGAAAAAAAAACAGAGGGACTTCGGATCCTCTGTCTTCCCTCTAGTTGAGTGTTGTTGCGACTTGTGAGTGATTGTGATTGTGGATGAGACAAAAGTTCATAAATGTTTTAAGGTATTTTAAGCTGTGTTGTCGTTATTAACGTTAGATTTGGGAAGGGATTTGATAATGGCCCACTAGAAATTAAATAAAAAGAAAACCAATTAAGATGATAATTAGAGAATAATGATTGGGATTATAATCTTGTAAAGAAATTTAATGCAAGTGGGATGGATTTGGTTCATGAACCTCTCCGGCTGCGGATTAATTATACTGTTAATTACAAAAATTATATGAAAACGACAAATCCCCCTGGCTGTATTCCTAAATAATGTCAAACTATAAACAGTGTGCTTTCCAAAGTTTTAATTCAATACATTTTGGAGTTAGTTTTGAGATTCTATTTCATTGTTCCACTTAGCGTTCAATTTATTTGATATGTTTATATTCTATTTTTTATTCTAAATTCTTATGATTAAATAAGGTGTAGCAACTCTGAAATTTTGATTGCCAAAGCGAGCACAGCTCAGTAGTAATTGACATATACCTCCAACCATAAGGTTGTGAATTCGATCCCCTACCTCCACATGTTGTACTATAGACTATTCGTGCTCTCACCTAACAATCTAATCATTTGGTCATTGTACTTTCACTAAACTAACGATTTAGTCTCTAAATTTTAGTTTGTAACGATTTAATTCAAATTAAGTATCAAATTAATGTTATCATATAACAATCTAATCTTCCTAACTTATAAACATATTTGGTCATATTTAGTTTATATAAATATATATAAGAAACTTAATATAAAAAAATTCACGATAAAACAAATTTCAAATTACAATGACTAAATTATTACAGACTAAAGTTCAGGGACTAAATTATTAGGGAAAGTATGGGACCAAAAGTATTTTTTAGCCGAAAAAAAAGCTTTATTTGATATTTCAACTAGGTTAGCATGCATTTTTGGGTTGTTTGTTTTCCTTTTAAAAAACTAGTGAAATGATATAATAATATATAGTAAGGGTCAGCTTTCTATTTATATTAATTTAATTTAAGATAGTAATTCAATGTATATGCTATTTTATTTTATCTAAAAAGATTCGAAATTCAAATACTTCAAACTAGGTTCTACTTCTAGAAATTGTAAAGAATAAAATAGAATTTTAGAAAAAGGTTTGTCGATAAATTGAATTATAAAAAATATATTCGAGAGTAAGTTTTTATCATAATTAAAAAGAGATTTCTTTTAACTAATAATTAAGTATGAAATGAATTTGATCTAATAAATCTAATTTTAATGTTCATAAATCAAACCAATCCCAAGACATCATTTCAAGGAGTGAGAGTTTGAAATATTTATAGAAGCGTTCTTATTAATAAATATTTTTTTTTATAAAAAGTGTTTGATGATATAATATTTTTTGTTTTGTTTTAATATTTTAAAAATGCATTTAATCGAATTAAAAATATTTTTGAAGTAACAGTATTTCCTTAAAAATATCTTTAGAATTGAAAAATCATTAAAGTGAAATAATTGAATTTGTAAAAAATAATAGGCAATTAAAGTTATAAAAAAAATTAAATAAGTGGAAGAAAATATGCATAGAGAGAGATCAGTGAGACATATATTGTAAATATAGTGAGAGAAATTAATGATAAAAAAATTAGTAGAAAGCGAGAGAAAAAGTGTGAAAAAGAGAAATAAATGAGAAACACGTGTAGAAAAAAGTTAACGAGAGAAATTACAAGGGAGGCACGACATAGTTTAATACAACATGTGAGGGTGGAAGATCGAACTCAAAAACTTCTTGATCGAAAATATATATCAATTATCGCTGAACTATGGTCGTTTTGACACATTTAAAATAACTTGTGATAATGTATCCTACAATGGACTGGGCATAATCATTTGTTAGGAAAGCAATTGAACTTAAAAGTACATTTTCATATTTGTTAATTACTTTTTACTAAAGGTGATTATAATGCTCGCAATACTTTTACAATTAAAGTCACTATTTAAAAACTAGAGTAATCGTAGTAGGTAGCAAAAATAATTCATGTATTTCAAAAAATGTCACCAGCTTTTCAAAATTTCAAATATAGCAAAATATTTGAATTTTTTATTTTCGGAATTTTTATTATTTTGATTTTACCCTTATGATATCTAATATACATCAATGTATATATGTATCTGATATAAATCCAATGTATATCTGTATATGATATACATCCAATCTATATCTGATATACATCCGATGTACCTTTGATATACTTCTGATATACATCTAATGTACTGTTGATATACATTATCAGATATATTCATGATATACATTATCAGATGTTTATATTATATATATATCTAATGTACCTCTAATTTATAGTATACTAAATATATTTGTAACTGATATGCTAAATATAAGGTATATCAAATGTTTAATTTTTAGTGGTATATAAGCTGTTTAAATTCTAGTTTACTATTTCAATTTGTTGATTTGATATACTAATGTTGATTACTGCTACTATTTATTCTATATATATATATATATATATATATTAATTAGGTACTAAATATAAAAGATATCAACGGTTTAAATTTATAAAGTATATTAGATTTCTAACTTCTTTTTTTGACGTGCATGATCCACATAAACCTTTTATACAACAACGACATTTCAAATTGGTTTTTTTTTGCGTCATTATTTTCATATGAAAAAATAGTAGATATAATAGTATTAATAGATATCATGGTTAAATTAGAGGTATATCAATAGTAAATTAGAAGCATATTAAGTATATATCAAATATATATCAATATTATGTTAATGGTAAATCATATAATCATATACAAGAAGTTATATAAGTAGAGATCATAATTATATCGGTGGTATATCATTTGTACATCAATGGTAAATTAGAGACATATCAAGTATATATCACATATATATAAATGTTCGACGTGGTAAATTAATGGTTATCATACGTATATCAGTGGTAAGTCATGTTAGAAGTTCAGTAAATATCAGAAGTAAATCAATTATATTTCATTATTATATTAGTAGTATATCAGAGACATATATATTGTAGATATATTACAGATGTATATCAAATATATTTCAGGGTAAAGTTGTAATTTTAAAATTGGACCTTCGTTTTTTGTTTAAAAAATACTATATTTGAAAAAACTAAATGTGATTGCTATTTTGCTTATTTTACTAAATATTTTTGCTATATTTACGACTGATCCAAAAAACTACTCTCAAACACATCTAAAACAATATTTATCCGGTGTTAAGTATATTTCTTAGTAGTATTTCTAAACATTCTAGGATGAGTTTGGGAGGTGTTAAAATATAAAGCAACTAATTTCTTTAGAGTTTTAAAAATTTTAAATACTTTTTCGAGGATTCGAAATCACCACTATTTAACCGAAAATAAATATTTGAGATAAAAAAGATAAGCCAAACATAAATGTTTGAGATAGAAGATAGAAAGCACTTTTGTCGGTTAAAGGCATTGATTCCTGAAAGACATCGAAAGTCAGAAATCATGCATGGAAGACAGCTTTGGTAGAGCAATACTAAAACGTGTTAGATGGAAAATGGTATCATAAATTTTATGCATTTCAGAAACCAAACCCCTTTGACCTGACTTCTCTTTGTGTCTCTCCAAAACCCAATTAATCTATGGGCAAACTCCAAACCAGTCAAATATTTTTCTCCCTAAACCTACCAAAATTCTACATTTCTTCAAGTTTAACCTATCAAAATTAGTTCTGTTTAATTGACATGGCATCAGAACTAAACATCATCTTATCTTCGAACTTATAATATTTGTTTGTATGACATGTCTATCATCATCATACGCCAAGTCCAAGCCCAATCATGTTCTTAATTTTCTATTTAGTTGAGTTTTCATCGTTTTCTTAGAACACGAGGTAGCGTAATATCTCCATTGATACGAGACTTTTCAAGAGAGGTATTAAACGAAATGGGTCAAAAGAAAATATTCGAGGTTTTCTTTGGTCTTGCCTAATTTGTTGAAGCAAAATATTTCAAGGTATTGGACTTTGTTGGGAAACTGGTGCCCTTTTTTCAGTATCATCTAGTGACCAATTTGGAGACGAAAACAGAAACAATGCCAAGTAAAGTTTGTTCACTAATCTAAATCAAATACTTTCCCACCTCATCTTTGACTGAAAAATTGAAAAATCTTTGAAATTTTTTATATCATCATAAACCTCCTAATCTTGCTAAATTGTTAGCATTAAATTCTTAAATATTGCAAGCCGTACCAATTATCCTAAACTATATAAGTATCTGTGACAATCAAACTCTCGAATTATGGAACTATTACAATAATTAAATCCTTTTTTTTTTACATCAAGCTTTTATTTTCTTAATCGAGATGAATTGACTCAGTATCAATCTAAAAGCCAAAATTTTCATAGGTTAATATTATAGTTTTCAAATTTTACAGAATTAAAAAGAAAAAAAAAAGACTTGGGTTAAATTGGAATAATTTGAGTTTTGTTGCAAGACTCCTTGTAGTTCAAGCATTTTACAATATTGAAGGGTTTAATTGTGCAAGAATTTTGTAAGTTTGGAGTCTGATAGTGTGATTATAACAAGTCGATCCAAATAATTTAGGGGTGAAATTGATGATATT